GATGCCTCATATCAAGTTCAAGCCACAATCCTTTCCTTGGTTGAGGCAATAGCAAAATCTCTGGAAGGAGAGTTCAAGAAGTATCTTGCAGGCCTTATCCCACCCATGCTTGACACATTCGAAAAGGACACTACACCGCGCCGACAACCTTCTGAGAAGATCCTACATACCTTCCTGATATTTGGTCCTAGCGGCGAGGAGTACATGCATCTTATTGTGCCATCTATTGTGCGCCTGTTTGACCGGACACAAAATCCGATAAGTATTCGAAAGTCTGCTATCGACACTTTAACGAAGCTATCACGCCAAGTCAATGTTTCGGACTTTGCATCCCTGATGGTTCACTCTTTGTCACGCGTGGTTGCTGGCAATGACCGCACCTTGCGCCAGGCTGCCATGGATTGTATCTGTGCACTTATCCTCCAGCTCGGCCAAGACTTCAACCATTACATACATCTTTTGAACAAAGTCTTGAAGGCACATCAGGTTAGTCATAGCAACTACCACATGTTGGTGACCAAGTTACAGAAGGGAGATCCTCTTCCGCAGGATCTCAACAACCCTGATGAAAACTATGCAACACTTGCAGATGACGCCAATTATGCAGAGATTGGACAGAAGAAAATGCTTGTCAACCAGCAACATCTTAAGAGTGCCTGGGATGCTTCTCAAAAATCCACTCGAGAGGATTGGCAGGAATGGATCAGACGTTTCAGCGTGGAACTGCTGAAAGAGTCTCCCTCTCCAGCTCTACGTGCGTGTGCCAGCTTAGCTGGCATCTATCAGCCACTAGCAAGGGACCTGTTCAATGCTGCCTTCGTCTCATGCTGGACGGAGCTGTATGATCAGTATCAAGAGGAACTAGTCCGGTCAATCGAGAAAGCGCTTACTTCGCCGAACATCCCTCCAGAAATCCTTCAGGTTCTGCTTAACTTGGCAGAATTTATGGAGCATGATGACAAAGCCCTCCCGATTGACATCCGCACCTTGGGCAAGTATGCCGCTAAATGTCACGCTTTCGCCAAAGCCCTCCACTATAAAGAGCTGGAATTCGAACAAGATCAGAACTCTGGAGCAGTTGAGGCTTTGATCACCATTAACAACCAGCTTCAACAGTCCGACGCCGCTATCGGAATCCTGCGCAAGGCACAGGCGTACCGAGATGTCGAACTTAAAGAGACGTGGTTTGAGAAGCTTCAGCGCTGGGAAGAAGCCCTCGCTGCTTACAAGCGGCGTGAAAGGATTGACCCTGATTCTTTTGGAGTTACCATGGGTAAAATGCGCTGTCTTCACGCTCTTGGTGAGTGGAAGGTACTTTCAGACCTCGCTCAGGAGAAGTGGAATCAAGCATCTCTTGAACACCGAAGAGCAATAGCACCTTTAGCCGCTGCTGCTGCCTGGGGACGTGGACAGTGGGAACTGATGGACTCTTACCTGGGCGTTATGAAAGAGCAATCCCCGGATCGCTCTTTCTTTGGCGCAATTCTGGCTATCCACCGAAATCAATTTGATGAAGCTACGATGTACATTGAGAAAGCGCGCAATGGCCTGGATACCGAGCTTTCCGCTTTGTTAGGCGAGTCGTACAACCGTGCTTATAATGTTGTTGTGCGCGTCCAGATGCTTGCTGAGCTGGAGGAAATCATCACCTACAAACAGAACATTGGTGATCCTGAAAAGCAGGAATCCATGCGTCAAACCTGGAACAAGCGACTTCTTGGATGTCAACAAAATGTGGAGGTATGGCAACGCATGCTCAAGGTTCGAGCACTTGTTACGTCGCCTCGTGAAAACCTTGAAATGTGGATCAAATTCGCCAATCTATGCCGAAAATCTAATCGTATGGGCCTTGCTGAGCGATCTCTTGCATCTCTCGAAACTACTGTGTCCGACAGCAATGGTACGCGGGTCATTGCTCCCCCAGAAGTTACTTATGCCCGTCTCAAGTTCAATTGGGCTACTGGCCGCCAACGTGAAGCGTTACAAATGCTTAAAGAGTTTACTTCAGGCCTTACAGAAGATTTTACTCGGTACAACACCCTCATACTATCACAATCCGATCACGGCGGAGTCAATGGTGTCAATGGAGTGAACGGGGTGAATGGGGTGAATGGTGTCACTGATGCGAATCATCCTGATGTTCAAGGGCTACGGGAACGCATTGGCGATGTGGCCAAATTCAGGAAGCTTCTGGCTAAGAGTTATCTCCGACAAGGCGAGTGGCAGACTGCCATGCAAAGAGGTGATTGGCGGCCCGAGCATGTTCGTGAGGTGCTCAACGCTTATGCCGCTGCTACAAACTACAATCGCGATTCATACAAAGCATGGCACTCTTGGGCATTGGCAAACTTTGAAGTTGTCACGACGATTGCAAGCCAAGCCAGCAGAGATGGCACGACCATGGCGATGGTGCCGAGCCACATTGTAACGGAACATGTGATACCCGCACTCCGGGGCTTCCTCAGGTCCATCGCATTGTCGTCAACATCTTCCCTTCAGGACACTCTCCGACTCCTGACTCTGTGGTTCGCCCATGGTGGTGATACAGAGGTGAACAGCGTCGTCGTTGAAGGCTTTACGGCGGTCAATATCGACACCTGGCTTGCAGTTACCCCCCAGCTTATCGCCCGAATCAATCAGCCCAACATTAGAGTACGGAGTGCAGTTCATCGACTGCTATCCGAGGTTGGCAAAACACATCCTCAAGCATTGGTTTACCCATTGACGGTTGCGATGAAATCGAATGTTACGAAGCGTTCGCAATCTGCAAGCAGTATTATGGACAACATGCGACAGCACAGCGCAAAGCTGGTCGAACAAGCCGACTTGGTTAGTCATGAGCTCATCCGAGTCGCGGTTCTGTGGCACGAATTGTGGCATGAAGGCCTGGAGGAGGCATCTCGGCTCTACTTCGGTGATCACAATGTTGAAGGGATGTTCGCAACCCTTGCACCTTTACATGACATGCTTGACAAAGGGGCAGAAACATTGCGTGAAGTATCTTTTGCGCAGGCTTTCGGCCGAGATCTTGCTGAGGCGAAGCATTACTGTATGCTTTTCCGTGAGACTGAGGAGATTGGCGATTTGAACCAGGCATGGGATCTCTACTACACTGTGTTCCGCAAGATCAGCCGGCAGCTTCCTCAGTTGTCGATCCTCGATCTCAAGTATGTTTCCCCCAAACTCAAGGACTGTGTGGACCTCGACCTTGCCGTTCCTGGAACCTACCAAAGCGGTCGACCCATCATCCGAATTGTCAGCTTCGACCCCATATTGCATGTTCTGCAGACCAAGAAGAGACCGCGTAGAATGACCCTCAAAGGCAGCGACGGCAACTCCTATATGTACGCGCTCAAGGGACACGAAGATATCCGACAAGACGAGAGAGTCATGCAACTATTCGGCCTTGTTAACACCCTTCTGGATAATGATGGGGAGAGCTTCAAGCGTCATCTATCTGTGCAACGATTCCCTGCCATTCCCCTGTCACAGAGCTCCGGTCTACTAGGATGGGTCTCCAACAGCGACACATTGCACGCATTGATCAAGGAATACCGAGAGAGCCGTCGGATCTTACTCAACATTGAACATCGTATCATGCTTCAGATGGCACCGGACTACGATAATCTCACGCTCATGCAGAAAGTGGAAGTATTCGGGTACGCCATGGACAACACTACCGGGAAAGATCTTTATCGTGTCCTTTGGCTCAAAAGCAAGAGCTCCGAGGCGTGGCTTGAGCGGCGGACGAACTACACTCGATCTCTTGGTGTCATGTCTATGGTCGGCTACATACTTGGCTTGGGCGATCGCCACCCGTCTAACCTCCTTCTCGATCGAGTTACTGGCAGAGTGGTTCACATTGACTTTGGTGATTGCTTCGAGGTGGCCATGCACCGAGAGAAATACCCAGAAAGGGTGCCTTTCCGCCTTACTCGCATGTTGACATTCGCCATGGAAGTTAGCAACATCGAAGGCAGTTATCGTATCACATGTGAAGCGGTTATGCGTGTTCTCAGAGAGAACAAGGACTCCCTTATGGCTGTGCTCGAAGCGGTGAGTCTCCTATTTTTGGGTGGAATCTGACAAGGATATTTACTAATTGTCTTAATAACAGTTCATTCATGATCCTTTGATCAATTGGCGTCTTGGAGTCCGCGAATCGCCAGATCGGATGCCCTTCTCCGCAGAGCGTCGCCAGTCTGTCGTTTCCAATATCAATCTTGAGCATGGCGTGCAGCCAAGCAACTTCTCGCGCCACCGCCGCCCATCAATCCTTGAAGGCGGTATTCTAGATGCACAGGAAGGAATCCCCAACGAAGCACGAGAAGCACAGAATGCACGCGCGCTTCAGGTACTTGCGCGGGTCAAAGAGAAGTTGACCGGTAGAGATTTTAGGCCCAACGAGGAGCTCAACGTCAGCGATCAAGTTGACAAGCTTCTTGCTCAGGCTACCAGCGTGGAGAATATCTGCCAGCATTGGATTGGTTGGTGCAGTTTCTGGTGATTATGTTGTCCTGTCCATTATGGATTTCTGGTTCTCGAGGAGGCGCAACTTGTGATGATGGATTTTTTGCATGGCATGGCTACAATTTCCCTTCTTCCTTACTTATTCTCCACCTTCTCGACTATCTTTTTTTTTGTCTTCGTCTTTCTGTGTGTAGTATTATCACTTATTTGCTCTTGCGTCTTTCTTCTCTTTCCCTGCCTCTGTCCCTTTGAGGAAGTAGGCATTGTCAGGAGCTGCCGTTCATGACATTATTCTTTTGCATGTCTCAATTCGATAATTGCATGTTGCTCAAGGCGGGATGATATACGGGATAGACGGTTAATGGTGAATTTTTTTGCAATGAATCGTGCCAATTCTAATAGAGAATTCCATCCATCGCATAACGGGATCAGCACGTGTTTTGATGACTAGCCGAGGTCACGGGCGGACACAGGATTGAAGGAATCTCCTTGGATTCCTTCCTTCCATCTTCCCACCTTAATTATCTTCCCTGCCATTCTTTTCTTTTGCGCTTTCATCCATCTTCCATATCTCAGGATGTGACCGGAGGCATTCCGGCTACCATCAGTGAGAAGCATGGCGTCAGACACCCCGCCCGACCCCGAAACCCATTCTGTGGTTCGCAGCATCCTCCGCATTTCCCTCAGCGCCAAGGAATACAAGCGTCTCCACGATTATGCCATCCAACGCACTCCTTTATCCGTCCAGGGTAGGCTGCCGTCTCCATCCAAGTACGAAGCCATTATCGGCTCGAAGAACAAGCACAATGTCGCTGCTGTGCGGGTAGCACTGCGGACCTTCCTACTCTCGTTATCCCTCACAAAGCTCGCCGACACCGCGATAAACCGGATACGCGGGGATCTATCGAGGTACTGTACATAGTCCTTCCTGTTCGCGTTGTAGACTGGCAATGGTTAACATAGATCTCATCGCTTCCAACAGCAAAGGACCGAAAGCCTCATCATCCACCCGCTCCCCGAAACTTCGCATATCCGCGTCGCTCGCGCTTCTTCTCCTGTTTCACCGATTCCTTTATCGTTTCTTCGTCAAGCTGCGCGCCAACCTCCGCACCGACGACGCTCGGCCATTCCGAGATCGCAACCCACGAATCTCCAATGTGCTTACTTCGCGCTTTGCCCCTGCCGTCGGGGCCAGTCTGGCAGGGTTTGCGCTAGGGATTTGCCCACGAAGCCAGTTTCGCATAATCGCAGCCATCTATTCGGCCACCCGTGGCTTGGAGTTCTTGTTCAATGCATTGGATGAAAAGGGCTGGTTTGACAACCGGCCTGCCTGGTTCGGTAGTTGGTTGCTGATGCCAATTTCTTGTGCGCAGCTGTTTCATTCGTTTATCTTCGATCGAGAGGCCGTGCCATCGGTAAGTACAAGGATAGGGATGTTCTTCATCCTAGAACAACAAAAACTAAATCTTGCTTGCAGTGGCTTGGAATGTTGATCCTCAGACTCTCCCCGAGTTACATCCGCGGTCGTCCCGAAAGTCTGCCTTTGGACGTCGCTTGGCCAGACAAGGAGGGTGTCATCAATTCACTCGCAACTATATCTACTCTAAGGTGGCCGTGAGTGAACCCCCGCCCTCCCTATCGTCTTAAAATGTGCTGGATTCCCGCCCGTGTACTGACCACTGATGAATCAAACAGATCGTTCGTATCGCCCATCTTACACCCCGGCACTTCAAAGACACTACCTTCGTCATTGGCGTCGATCTCCCCGGTGACCGGTTCCGCGCACCCAGCCATATCCAGCTTGTCCTGCGCACTGCTCCACCCCAGCAGCCCCAGCTGCAGCACGGCCTTCCTGCACCATATCCTTCTCTCCGTGCCGCCCCTGGCGCGGTTCCTAACCGCCGCCACCCTGGCGCTCTCCTTGCGTAACCTCAAACACCTGGCGTCCCACCCCATCACGTCGCTGAACGAACTGTCCCAAAGAATCATGAAGCTGACCGCCGTCCTGTCGGCATCGGCCGGCACCGCCTGGGCTAGCATCTGCCTGTGGAACGCCATCCTCCCGCGGTCCACGATAGCCACGAAGCGGTTTTTCCTGAGCGGGGCCCTCGCGGGCGTCCCGTTCGCGTTTCTGGGCCCCCAGCGCGGCGTCTTCCTGTCGTTATTCCGCGCCGCGATCGCGACGGCCTGGAAGACCGCGGGCAAGCGCGGTCGGTGGACCGGGTGGAAGGACGGGGAGTTGTGCGTCATCGTGGCGAGCTGGGCGCTGATGGGGTGCATCCTGGATGCCCGACCCTCCGCGGTGCAGGGGAAAGGGGTCAGGGTGGCGCTCTCGTGGATGCGAGGCGATGGGTTCGCCGACCCATTGCGGGTAGCCGGGAAGAGGAAGGCGAAGAAGGCCGCGGCGCAGAAGAAGGAGAAGGCGGAGGACGATGCGCGGACTTAGCGGCGCTGCAGCCAAATCTTGTTATGTTGTTGTCGTTTTGCTAGCAGGCAATTGTCCACGGAGCTGGACTTCGGTCCTTCATATCTGGCAGATAGGTTATGATTTTCATGGTGCCACGCTGTCTTGGTTCCGATGAATGAGCGCGCACTCCCTTGGTTATGGTCTCGGTACGGTAGGGGTAGACCGGAGGGCGGAGGAACACTAAATGCGCTATATGCGTAGGTACATAAACGAGGATGCTATTTGTTTTCTACGAAAGAGATTGCAAGATTCTCATATCTACATGACCACATTACAAAATGTCTAGTCTATGCTTCAGCATCCTCTAGTTTTGCAGTACATATATAACTTAGTCAGCAACAAACAAGAGGAGAACCAGCAGTTCATCTGAACGTGGTTGCAGGTCAGCTGTACTGCTTTTTCGGTTCATGTGGAACGAAAACTGCTTACTAAGCAGTTTGGTCACGTGATTTCCAAGCGACCCTGTTACCTTTACAAACCAAAAATTTCATTCCACATCATCTTTTCAATACTATTACACATACTATTTCTAGGTGATTTTTAACTATTAAAGTTATAAGTACTTAGAAAGTACTTATTAAGTATTTAGAAAATAACTTAGAAAAATTACTTAGAAGTAAGAGTATTTAAAGAATATAAGAGAAAGTTGAATTTCAATAATAAAAAACAGTAATTTATAAGGTCACTTGGAACGTTCCTGCTTATGTAAAGGGCTTGGCATCACGTGCCGCAGGAACGTTCCACATGAACCCAAAAAAGATTTCAGATGACCTGTGTTCACCATCTGAACTCTTTTCAAGGTTCATGTGGAACGTTCGCCGCGCACATGACGCCAAGGCTATTAAGAAGCAAATTTACATCCCAACTCAACTTTTTCTGTTTTTGTTAATCAATGACTTGTATTATATGCCTGTAATCAATCCTAGTGTAAGAGAATTATAGAGGTATTTACTTTTAAGAGTCCAAATCTTATAGACTCTGAGTGTCCTAAGAGTCCTAATAACCCTGATAGCCCTAATGGAAATAGTTGATTAGTACTGAGAAATCTGTAATTTATGTAAAAGGTGATGTGGAATAAAAAACCCTTCGAAGGTTCACATGAACTGTATTTTTAGGTGACGCGACTTCTTTACCCTGACTAAGCTGTTCTTTTCGGGTCGCGCGAGCAAAATAACGACCATCCGTCATCTCAGCTGCATCCACACCGACCCGAAACCGGGCTCCAAGCAGAAAAAATAATTGATTTCTCCGATGCGGGGAATCGAACCCCGAGCTGCCGTGATATCCCAATGAAAGACGGCGATGTTAGCCGTTACACCACATCGGAGGTTGTTAAAATACCAATTGTGGTGTCATTATGAATCCATCAATGCGGTAATGGTGACTGTAGGGCAGGATTAGTTGTTTGTTCGAGGCCACCTCACATACACTCTATAAGATGAAGCAATTAGGATTGAAAGTCGACGGTGTCGAATCTTTTCGTAATGGACACATAATTGCTCTACTAAGAGATGATAAAAGGATTTACCTAACAGAAGGCCATAATAATGACAACTTACCTTCGGCTATAAAAAAACCCCGAGGGCGCGAGGATACTATCACTCATGAGACTTGTTGATATAGAATATTGTATCCATGAAATTACATTGAATGCACCCATGAGTATGCTAAACCCCCGAAGGACCCAGAGAGATATTTCCAGTCACACAGGGTGTCTTTGATGACCTTCCTAAGCGAACCCCTGAGATATCAAGAGGTGGAGTGGATAGAGTCGACTAACTCGTGAAAACGTACAGTACATGCCAGCTTCCTTTGTTGCTTGTTGCCGACCCAACTATAGATTCTATACTGTGTAACGGGACAAGATAGTAGTCGTGGATCATCTTTTTTCAATTGTCATTCAGGCTAAAACATCACACTCGCAAGTCATTCCAAAAAGAAAAGTTTAGTGAAAGCCAAAAGCTCTAATCAATGTCTATTGTGACTATCCTCTCCTCCTCACACTCACAATCTTGCCTTGGGAATCCGGTTCCCCTGTTCATCGAAGTTGATCTTCTCGCCGGTGATCAGACTCTCCTGGAGGGCGGCCCCGATGCGCACCGCCTGGACGGCGCCCTCCAGCTTCAAGGGCACAGGGGTGTTCTCAAGGCAGGAGGCGGTGAACTCGTTGGCCTCGGTGACGAAGGCGTACTCGAAGCGGTCGTAGTAGTGCTGGGGCAGCTCGCGGCGGACGCCGGTCTCGTCGAAAACGTTGACCAGGTTGATGGCGGGCTGGGTATTGACGGCCAGCTTGCCCTTGGTGCCGATGATCTCGGTGGAGTCCTCCTGGCCGGCGGCCATCATACGCGAGGCGTAGAAGTAGGCGATGCGGCCGTCGTAGAACTCGACCAGGCCGACAGCATTGTCGCGGTCGTTGTGCTTGCGGAGGTCCGGCTCTACCGCTGTAATGCCCACAGCGGAGACGGATTTCACCTTACTGTCCTGGCCGAAGAACCACAGCGCCAGATCGATGTCGTGGATCGAGCAGTCCACAAAGATACCGCCGGAGAACTCAGCGTAGGCGACGAAGAACCCCGTCGGGTCCAGCTTATCGCACGTCTGGCTGCGCATTACTGAGGCCGTGCCGATCGCCCCCGCGGACATCTTGCTGTGCGCGTCCCGGTAGGAGGCGTCGAATCGCCGCGAGAATCCACACATGACCTTGAGATGGGGTTTCTTGGCTGCGGCGTCAAGGACGGATTGGGACTATGTGTCAATTTAAGCCATGTTAGTTTGAGTTGCCAGATTTTTCTCTCGTCAATTCGGTTGTTGGGAGCGGAGAAAAGAGAAGAAGGGGAGGCGCAAGAAGCGGGACGTTAACGGCCACATACAATTTCAACACTGGTAGACAAAGGCTTCTCGCACAGAACGTTCTTGTCAGCCTCAATGGCCTTGATGGCCTGCTCGGCGTGCACGGCGGTAGCGGAGGCAACAATCACGGCCTCCAAGCCCTCGTGCTTCAGCATGTCGTCGTAGCTTTTGTACAGCTTCACGCCGTACGGGGCCAGGTGGACCTTCCCCCATTCTAATTCACTGTCGTCGGGAGTACTGACGGCGACGAGCTCCGCGCGGGGAGTGCGCTGTAAGAAGTTGAGGGCATGACGCTTGCCCATGCGACCGAGACCGGCACAGCCAACCTTCAATCTTCTGGCAGACATTGTGATGGATATTTGTATTGGTGGGAGGATTGAGGAGCGGCGAGCGGGAGAAGGAGGGATTCGTGAAGGTAGATGGAGAATTGGTGAAGAGAGAACGAAAGACAGGAAGAGGGAGAGGAAGAGATCATGAACAGCGAAGCAGCAGGAATTTAACCCCCGACACGCAGCTGGGGTTAGTTGGGGCAAGTGTCGGTCTGGGTTCTTTCTTTTTTGTTTTCCTTGAGGGGAAGATGCGGAGAAAGCTGAGTAGCTGCTGGAGCTGCTGCTGCTGCTGGCCAGTCAAGGAGACTAGTCTGACAATCCTTCTGACTGGCTGGATAATCGTAGGTTTGGTCCATTGAAGTTGCCAGTGGCTGTCGGACAGGGACGGTTTCGGGCGGAATGGAAATCCCGGGGTGACAGACCAGTGGAGAGTGCTGTATGTACTGCAGGTGTACAGTACCACCACCTCCTTTTGCCGACCCCGGAATCTGGCCGTCGGGATCCCTGCCCCGGAGCCCCTTCGGAAACGAGGTTCCCGTAGAGAATCGCTGCTATGATCCTGCAGCACTGGCAGGATAAAGAGAAGCAGTGACTGGAACCTGCAGCTTTGAATCTATTCCAATTGAAAGACAAGGAAGAGATGGGAGATGAAAAGCATCAGCTTGTTGAGCTCAAACAGCATCCAAACAACCACGGTAAAGTACGGGGGCGGGGAAAACTACCCTTTCCGGGGTATCTTCAGAGCACGGCGGGGAATATCCCCCTGGGCGAACTTATGGGTCTACAACCTCAGTTAATTCTCTTCGAAGCTTGAGAACATGTGGCAAGCTACTCCTATCCCCATGAGTATGCGGGGAAGCCGTGTACCAGAAGGAGAGGACAGAATCGAAAAAAAAATTGGGGAAGGCCAAAGGTGGAAAAGTATACTCAAATGACATACTATCAATAGACAAGGAATCTTTGTGCTCCTTAGCTGGAGGCAGAAACCAACACGCACTCAATTTAGATCATATGACTGCCAGTCATTCCGACTTTGCATGCTACTCAGTTGCGAACTAATAGCTGTACTGCTACAACAAGTTCTACACTTATGAAAGGGACCTCAATTATTGGCCATGGCGTCCTCCACTGTACAGTAAACTTGTGATTCGCAACCAGAAACAAACAATCAATGCAAACCAACAAGAACAATCACTTGATTCACCACTGTACTCGCAATGCATAGGGAGAAAGCTCCTCCCAACCACAGAAATGGTGTATACAATCATCATTGCTGGTGATCTGATCCGATCACTCCCCCAAGGGAATCAATCCCCGCATCCCCACGCCCCCACTCCCCCGACTCGGGAATTCGTTCCCGAAGCGCCTTCAATGTCTTGGCACTGAAGCAATCCCCGCAAGAGACAGATTTCTCCCATTGAAACTGCAAAAGTCAATTGTTTTTTTTTGACTGTAATGGGTTGACTTGGTCTGAGCGTTAGTCGTGGCTGAAGATAGACTTCAATCGCGGTCGATCTTGACGAGGGGTAACTTATGGTTATTGACATACATGTTGGAAGTGGCTGAGTAAATCAATTGATTCATTGAGATGAAGAAGCCTACAGGGTGATCGCCGACAGGGATGGTAGCCGTAGTGAAGTACGGCTTCGGGCTTAGGTTCTACAGGATCATTGCACTGGACAGTAGATAGTGAAGGGCAAAACGTGGTCCCAAATCATCTTGGCCATCGGTTCATTTGGAAAATAACATTGTATAGTGTGTTCGTGAATCATCGCTTGAGTTCATACCATGAAACCAAAAGAAACAAAGTGAAACAAAGTGAAACAAAGATGCTGGAAACAAACAACCAAGCCAGACACAGTCCTACATAGCTCAGGTGGTAGACTGGACGGAATACAATTTTCTTTCATCCATCCAGGGTATCCTCTACCACTTGATGACCCTGTTGGGGAAGTATTCGTCGATCAACTCGAGATAGTAAGGCTGCAGACTATCGGTTAGCTGCATTCTCTGGGGAAATCACAAGTCTGGCTAACGCACCTTGAGCTCCTCGGCGCTGGGAATGCCATCGCTCTTGCTGTAAAGATCGTAAGGGTTGAAGGCCTTGACGGCCTTGAACATCTCCTTGTCCTTCTCGTTCATCAACTCCTGGTAAGCGCCAGCGTTGTGCCAGGGGTAGAAGGAGTGGTAGCGGATCATGGCCAGGGCCTCGGCGGGCAGGGTGGACTGCTCCTTGACGACGTGATAGAGGTACTCGTCGTGTCCCCAGGAGATCATCACATTGTCCAGACCGCAGCCGGGGCTGTAGATGCCGTACTTGGTGTCGTAGATCTCGTGGCCGAAGTCGGGGTTCTCCTTGAACGAGTCGCGGCCGTAGATGATGCGATCGTCAAAAGCGCAGCCGACGGGGAAGGTGTCGCCCACGACGTCCCACTGGCCCTGGGCGTCGAAGAAGTACAGCAACTTGCCCAGGTCGTGGATGAGACCGGTCAGCTGCATCCAGCGGGGCTTGCCGTCGCGACGGATCGCCTCAGCAGACTGCAGGAGATGCTCGATCTGGGAGAGGCTGGTGTCCGGATCGGACTCGTCGATCAAAGTGTTCAACTTCTCCATCGCCTCCCACACGCTCATCTCCGCACGGGTCTTCGCGTGGAATGCATTGCGCGCCTTGAGGTTGTATGCCACCGTCTGCTTGGTGTGCTGCTCCTTGTAGAAGTTCTTGACCCGGTCACAGGCATCCTCGTACTGACGGAACTTGGTCTTGTCCTTCTCCTTGTCGAACTCAGACTCCTCATAGAGACCCTTCTCCTTCTCCTCCTTCAGGTTGGTCTTGAGAACATTGACTGTGTCGATGGCGTCCGACAGGTCTTCAAGGGCCTGTCCGTCACGTTTGGTGTTGAACACGGGGGTTTCTTGGGCGACTGCGACGGGTGCCATGTTGATTATGCGTATGATGCAAGGACGAGAAAACTTTTTGAAGCCTGGGGATCACTTTATCCTTGTCTTCGAGGTTTGAGGGTATCACACAAGGGTTGTTGTTGTTGGGAGGATAATGAATGAAAGCGAGGCGACACGGACATAAATATGATATTTCCATTCTTCTCGGCGAACGTAGATTAGACTACCCCGGAAGGAGTTGCCATCGAAAATGCCAAACACCGAGTATCGCCCTTTGGTTGGTCTGCTGCAGCGCATGACGTTGCGTGATTCTAGAAAAGCACAGGGCGATTTTCCCACCAGCATGACCACCCCACGCCAGGAGGTCGGATTCTGGGTTCCGAAGCCACAGACTACTGTGGGAGGATTTGCCCTGGGGTAACATTCCCCGCCATGGTGGAACAGAGAGGCTCGCATATGGACCAGATCAGCCAACCAGAGCGTCAGCCACACTCAGGTGTAGCCCTGGAGGCTGTCTGGGCCGTGGGTGGGAACAATGCCTCTGGATTCTGGTTTCCGATGGCGGGTTTGCATGCGGGCCGTTGTTCAACCAGAGAGAATGTCTTCATTTGTCAGGGGGCCCGACCTCGATTAGGTTCACCCTTGCTGCAAGATACGATCATTGTGATTATCTGTATCTGCACCTCTGACCTGCTGTATGATGACAATAGCCCTGATGCATATGGGCAGATGAGGCTAGTTGTTTTCCCCGCTCGTGTTCGCTCGTGTCTGGGATGTAGATGCTGGATTGAGGTGTGCCTGCCAAGTGCATTGCAGTGCAGGGAATGCGGGTGATAGATTGGAGAAACAAACTCCGCATTGTCATCTGTGAAGCTATTCTTGAAAGCTGTTCCAGCCCTTCTTGTTAGTTATGTAAGATTCTCAGTAAGAAGTGTCGGCACAAAGACGCCCGAGGGGAAGGAATAAGTGGTGGGGGAAATGCCGGGGATTGCTCCGATACTAGAGTACTAGTGCGGGGTATCTTCCTTCTGCCCCTCCCTTCTCCTCTCCTACTAGCTAAGTACTATTTTCCCTCTCGTCCTGCCACATGTTCTCTTCTTCTTCTTCTTCATTCTTCTATTCCTCCTGTTTCCATTCATTCAACTCCCTCGCAATTCGCATCCTGTCCTCGTCCCGCAGTTCGCGCCTCAAGCCCAACACCATAACCCAAAGGAACTCATCGCAATCCACAATGGGTCTCGCCGATACGCGCTTCAAGCTCAACACCGGAGCGGAGATCCCAGCTCTCGGTCTCGGTATGCAGCCTGTGTACCTTTTGACTTTTGTAACCAGACCCACTAATCCGTGAGCTCCCCCTCCTCCCAGGAACCTGGCAATCCGCGCCCGGCGAGGTCGAGAAGGCCGTCCGGCACGCCATCCAGGTGGGGTACCGCCACATCGACACGGCGTTTGCGTACCAGAACGAGCACGAGGTGGGCAAGGCTATCAACGACGCGATCGCGGCGGGGGAAGTGAAACGCGAGGAGCTGTTCGTGACGACCAAGCTGTGGTCGACGTGGCACTACCGGGTGGCGGAGGCGCTGGACCAGAGCCTGCAGACCATGGGGCTGGACTACATCGACCTGTACCTGGTGCACTGGCCGGTGGCCATGAACCCCAACGGGAACCACCCGGTCGTGCCCAAGCTCCCGGACGGCTCGCGGGACCTGCACCTCGACCACCCGCACGTCGAGACGTGGAAGAGCATGGAGAAGCTGGTCGGCGCCGGCAAGACCAAGGCCATCGGCGTCTGCAACTACAGCGTTCCCTATCTGCAGGAGCTCCTGGCCCAGGCCACCGTCGTCCCCGCCGTGAACCAGATCGAGAACCACCCGGCCCTGCCGCAACAGGAGGTCGTCGACTTCTGCAGGGAGAAGGGCATCCACGTCACCGCGTACAGCCCGCTCGGCAGCACGGGCAGCCCCCTGTTCTCCGCCGACCCCATCGTCGAGGTCGCCAAGAAGAAGGACGTCGCCCCCGCGACTGTTCTGCTGAGCTGGCACAGTATGTTTTTGCACCAGTGTCTCTCTTGCTTCAGCCCTTGCTCCTTTCTCTCTCTCTCCCATTTACGTTCACAGAAGCCGATAAGCTAATCACCGAACCTCATGCTATCTAGTCGCGCGTGGCTCTTCGGTTCTCGCCAAGTCGGTGACTCCTTCTCGCATCGAGGCCAACCGCCAGCTGGTCGAGCTTGACGAGTCGGATCTGGCCACCATCGCCAAGTACACGGACGAGCTGGCTCGGACGAAGTCCTTCAAGCGTTACGTTTTCCCGCCCTTCGGTCTGGACTTTGGGTTCCCTGACAAGGTCGCCAATTAAGTACCACGATGGAATAGGCACACTCGGCAACAGTGCAGCACGTCAACTATGGTAGAAGGGTTTATAGAGAGAGATATAGAAGCCATTTGGTTGGTTGATCGGTTGGTTCAGAAGAAAGAACCAAGAGTGACTAGTTGTATATGACTCTGATATATAAGACTTCTTGTATGATTGAAATGACATCTTTGATTCAATTCCGCTGTATGGTATTGTACAACAGTTGGTCGCTGTGCATTTAAACTAAAGAGGGGCTTTCCTAAACAAGAGAGTTGACATGTGTTCGTTCCATCAGCCCACAGTGAACAAACGCAGTAAGCGAGCCTTAGGCGAAAGACCTGGCACACACACCGATGAAGTGATGGGAAAATGGAAAATCTCACAGCTTGGACTAGACTTCAAGGTGTTAAACAGTTAACCAATTCAGCTCTCCCCTCGGCCTCTTGTGCATTTCTCCAGCCCAATTACACCCGATCCATCACCTCTATCTCATCAGGTCCAAGCCAAAATCACTCCTAAGACAGAGGCTGAATGATTTCCATCGAATTCAGAAGGCAGCCAAAAGCAAACCAGGCCGAGTGTACAATGGACTGAGATCAGTTGCTGCCAGAGGAGGTGGATTCGAGCACAACTGGCAACGCAGTAGCGGTGAAGCCTACCCATACCCTGTCCACGCCGACGTTTGGCGAGCCTGTTCTTGGATCCCTCGATATGACAGTCAACATCTCTTGATACCCCAAGGCCTCAAGCTCGGGAATCTTCTCCTCTTGCGACGTCGAGTGCCCGCTCCTGAGCCAAAGCAAGAGCCCCTGGAGGCGGTTGACCTCTCGCTCGAGCAGGACGGCATGCGCCATCTTGATCGACAGCAAGCCGCGGTCCCGAAGGAGTCCGAAAGCTTCCTGGAGATATGGGTACGGCAAAGATGCCAGAATCCAGGAGGCTGTGTAGTCCTCATAATCGGGCCATATGTACTCAGAATCCGTTGGAGGGGGAGTGGTCATGTTTCGCCTTGGGTTGCTGCAGTGAAACTCAAAATTGGGTGGCAGGTGGTCAACCATATACTCCAGGCAGGCCCTGACTACTTGCGGAGCCCAACGTTTCTTGAAATCCTGTGCCCCGGGCGTGCTGGCCGTGGGCGTCCCGAGCGACGGCGCCTCGGGGTCGAAGCTGATAAACGCTTTCAAGGTGATGAGGTAGTCTTCGGGCCGGATACTGTACTGCAGGATCTCGTCGATGGTCTCCCAGCTGATCATAGAGATGGTCAGTTCAATCCCAGCATTGATGACGTCCGGAATTTGCAGACATGCTCCAGCCACGGCATAGGAGTATGCCAACTCGGCCTTGGCGCTGTCGAATGGAAACGAGAGCTCGCCGTATGTCGCCTCCGTGTATCCCAGTAACTCAATTGTTTTCTGGTGGAGAAGTTGTCCGTCTAAGAGTGATGCACCATACAGATATTTGAGAGCCATCTCAAAACCATGCATCATGCCGACTTTCTCACCGAAGACCGCGATGATTTGGTTATACCCTTCCATGTATGCGGGGAATTTCAGTATGACAGCAAGTGACGGGCTTCGCATCATTATAAGTCGATGTGCCAGCAAGGCACAGGCAAACTCAGAGTCGCCTTTCCTCAAAAGTTCAATGCCGAAGTCACACAATACTTGGTCGCGGTAGATTCCCAGAAAATAGGTCGACAGGCTATCCGTTGTTCTTAATTCTTCGGGCGGATCTTCAATTAAATTAGCACTTCGATCTGATAACCTCTTCTGCCAGCCAACTGACCGGTAACTTTTGACGTCTCACCGGCTTGTTCCTCGGCCGTATGGGCTTTGTCCTGAATAGTCTCTTCGATGTCCTTTGGTGAGCAAGAACTCGGTGCGACTGACTCGGATGCAATCTCTGATATTCCATACTGACAATGCGACATGAAATGTAAACAGCAACATGATTTCCTAGGAGGACAAGCACAACCTGTTGATCTTGGCGTATGCACGCAACAGTTAGTTTCGAAGGAACAAATCTCCTGATCATGTTGATCACATCGCGCATTCTTGGCTTCCTGCTCGCAGATGTTGCAAACAAATGTGCAGTGCTCTTCCTCATTAGACTGCTGCTGCTGCTCCCTTGGCGACACGCAAGCATCTTCTTCGGCAGCAACCAAGTCAGCGGGTGTCTCGGGCAATGAATTGTCATGTTCATTGTTCGGGTTCCCAATGATCCCGGGAAAATCTTCAAGTTCTGTGGAGCATGATACCAAGCTTTCGACGCTGGTCTCGGTCAACTGCGTTACTAGAATACTTTCGTCCGTGGGTGACGCGGTCCGTGGCTTCGGCGCTTGCAGTTGTTGAGTGCTTTCCGTGCTTTGAGTTGTTACACATGAATCCAAGACGTCAGGATCGGGATCTTGCACCACATCGGGATTTGCTTCGGTCAATGGCACCACAATAGTACTTGCGTCAGTGGTAGACGAACTTCGTGGCTCCGATTCTGGAAAAGAGTGAGTGCTTTCCGACTCTTGAGTCGCTGTAAGCGAATTCAAGTCTCTGGAATGTGATGCACCCACGTCATCATAGACCAAAGCCTGGCTAGCCTCGGCCGAGTCTGAACTGACGTAGGGCGGAGGTAAGGATACGATTGGGGGCTCTGTCGCTGAGAGTGTTGTGGAGCTAACATCCGAAGGCGCTGGGGAAAAACAGGACGGATTCACCGCTGTTGGGACGAGCTGAGATCGACCGGCTTCGAAAAGGCCGGGAGGTAGAGTGGCGTATGGAGGTGGAGGAGACAGCGGCACTTGGATCCGAATGGATTGAGTCTCCGCGCCTGTGACTTGCTGCTGCGCGACCAGGCCGTCACTGTCATCAGCTGCGGAAGCAACAAGAAGAGGCAGAGTAGAGGGAGGTGAAGGAGGAGGTGAGGGAGGAGATGAGGGAGGAGGTGAAGAAGGGGGAGGAGGAGGAGGCGGAGAAAGAGGAGGCGGAGGAGGCGGAGGAGAAGGGGCAGCAGCAGCAGCCACCGCCGCCGCCGCCGCCGCCATCTGATGATGAGGACCACCTGACGTTTTCTTCGCGGGCTTCTTAGCCTGCCTCTTCTTTCTTTCTTTTTTGTTCAACTTCCTCTGCGCCTTTCTGGCTTGGACGACATCGGCAATCGATGCAGCAAGTTGGCCATGACCGCTCCTATCAGCGTCGTCATCGTCGTCGCTGTCCCGTTCAGCTTGAGCCGTCACCTCGGCCGTTGGGGCAGTAGGCTTTGGCGCAGCGGGCTGAGCATCCCCAGTCCTCTCCACGTCGTTGCTGTCGCTCGGTTCCGAGCTCGCGACGACCGCATCAGTGAGCCGGCACATTGTCGGGTCCAAAGACTGCCGACGCGAACGACAGGGGGGTCGTTGGGGGCACAAATCAAGCTTAAGGCGTCGATCAATGTCTGCTTGCAGATCGAGCGATCTCTGCCTTTGAGTTTCCTTTTCGGCTGCCGTCTTCTTCGGGCGCCAGATGTTGAAAAAGTCGTCAAAGGCCTCACTCGCAAGAATATCGTCGGAGGAACAAAAGGACTGGACGCGGTTGAACGCAGGATACATCACACTCTGAGCATGGTAATCAGTTTTGATCCTTCGCTCCTTAGTAGCAAAAGGACAAGCCGGGCGATACGTACCGTTTTCCCGAGCAAGGTGTTAAGAATGTCGGGTGATGAGGATAGGTCTGTATGTTGAGGTCTGGTGAGCAAAGCAGATAAAACAGCGATAACACGGGGGTTGGTAATGCTTACTATCTGATCTGGATAGGACGCTATCTAAAACTGATGTAAAGCAATGCTACAAGCTTGAGAAGACAGCCTGCCTTCGTGGCAGTCAGGTAACTTTTAAACTTTGAAATTCATTTGAGCGAATGGAGGCAGGTGTGATGATGGATTTTCGAGACAAGGCATGTGTGGAAGAACACTAGACGAAGGACTACTGTGCAGTCAAGAAGGACGAAGAAAGAAATAAGGATTCTGTTTACCTCACTGGCTAGTAGACAACGAGAAAGTTTCCTCTCACTGTTAACGCTGCGCAAAGTAAAGCGGGTCAAGCCTTGAAACCTTACATTGCAGCTGTTATGAGCGAAAGAAACTAACATGCAGCTCGTTGAATGATATCTGTTCCTGCAAGTTACCTGCGATAACTACAGACTTAGCAATTGTTCAAGTCTGTCATTCCGATTTCTGACATCACGGAACATGAACCCTGCGTTGAGACACATGATTATTGCCAGCTGGAGGGCATCCTATCCCTGGTACTATGTGAGGGTTTCCTCATCCACGTGACTGACAAGGTGTCTTGAATCTTTCATTCTACTCTACAGAATCACTAAACATCCTACTTTAAGACCTTGACGGTAGACAGCTGGACAATATCCTAAGCCTGATACTATGTGAGGGTTTTCTCGTCCACGTGACCTCAAGATGAAATAACGCATGAACCAAAAGAGCAATACAGCAACTTGATCAGTATGGAGCATTCACACTGAGTTGACAAGAAGGCTTCTGGAAAGTCTTGCTCCAACGCTTGATGGCTTGCAAATCTCCAGTGCAGTAAGGCTTCCACAAGCCTGGATGCAACATGCAGATTTAGGATTGTCCAAAGGACGATCAACTACCAACGATACTAATACTTTAAAGATCGACAGACAGCTGAAAAGCTATGTATGAAACTTGTGGTGTGGATAATTCTGGTATTGTGGCCAAATCTCGTCTAAGCAAATGTCAAGAGAGAATGGCTTTGTCTAAAGATATGACTCATAGGAAATTGGTAATGTCAATGAATGGGTAATAAACAGGAAATGAAAGTAATAATGCTCCGCTCAACGTAACGCTGTTGGTATATCATGATGGATGCAAAACCGGAATTGCTAAGGAGAGGTATCCAACATAAAGATGCAGAAGGCTAAGCCAGAACGTCAATAATACATCGTAGTCGGGGAAGTGGGTTGAGAAGGTATTGAAGGGAATGGAAGTTATGTCAGGTGTTCAGCATGGAGTTTAAGAGGTTTAAAACATTCCTCCATCCAGAGGAATTTGGGGGGGTGGGTAGGTAGGAACAGCAGGCGGATGTGTGTCAGCTAGCAGCTGGTGACGGGCCTTCGCATTCAAGTTGCCTCCCTCGCTGGAGGATTTGCGAAGCCTGGCTCGAGACTTCGGGCGCTT